TTTTGGTTATTATGGTGAACAAAGACTGAAATCTGCTTAAAAAGTACAGAGAGAGAGATGTATCTATGATGTTTTAATTTAAGAAGAATTGTTTTATGCTTTTTGAATTGTTGCTCTTTAGAAAACAGTGTTATCAGAACATAAAAATAATGTACTGATGTGAAAAGTTAAATATGTTTGCCCCTTGCAGTTTGAAAATTACTACATGTTCCACAAAGTGTAGAATCATAGTATAATTGACATATAAGATATTATATACTTTTGACGTTTCTGTAAATGATAGTATTTTGACCTATCTTACATAACCTGATATAATGTTGGAGGTATGAGATTTTGTTGTTGCAAAATTTAACATTTAATATTTACAGCGAGATCCTAGTCTGGAAAATCTATATAGTGCTTAATATTGCAAAATCCATTGTGAAAACTATTGTTTAGCATAGTAAAATTATTATATATTTCCACCAAGATGTGTATATGGGTATAAGCTGTAATGGAATTAAAGGGAAACTATAGACTAGGAATACAAAAATCGCCGATGTCCTTGAGCGCTGGGGCACACTCCACCTCTGCTCCTTTCTGTGCCAATGTCAGCTGATGTCAGGAATCTAATACGCAAGTGATACAATCGCCTTGTATAAAAGCAGACACGGGATGTCCTCATGCATAGCGTGAGGACGTCCAGTTTCAGTTATCCGACCAAAAGTCGCCTAATGACCCAGAAGCGCCTCTAGTCGTTGTCTGGTAGATGGCCACTGTAGGTGGATTTAACCCTGCAATGTAATTATTGCAGTTTATCAATAGCTGCAATTATTACAATTGCAGAGTTAAACTGACACGGACAGTGCACCCAGACCACTTCAATGACCTGACGAGGTCTGGGTGCCTATAGTGTCCCTTTTATGAAAGTTTTATATATATTTTTTTTGTAATAGATGTTGGGTAGCATTGATCTGGTATTACACCGGTGTGCACTCATCTATTTGCACATTACCTAACAACATTATATAGGTCTAGCCAATGGCTAAGATGTTTTTCTATGTTAAGATTATCTTTGTTTGATTATCAATGTCTGTGAAGTTGCAGATAGTCACTCATAAGAACTAATAACCTTTTGTCTCGGAACCTATAAATGGTGCTGGAAGAATAGCTGCTGTGTCCCTCCGTAAGATTTAATTTAGTTATTCTATTTATCACAAAACAGTAAAGCAATCTAACATGCTTTCTTCTCAATTTATCAGACTGCGATTCCTTTATGTAGTAGTGGGAATTCAAAGTGGTTTTATTGATTAGTTTAATTAAGTCAGAATTGAACTAATTAAAAAAATTTTAATTAATACATTTTGTATGGTTTACAGATTCTGTGTTTTAGGTGTTTTTATAAATTCTTGAAATTATACATACAGTGTCTTAGTATGCACTCTCCTTTGCATTTTTTTGTGTTTTGTTGCCTCACAACCTGGAATCAACATGGACTGTTTTAGGATTTGCATCATTTAATTTACAGAACATGCCCATAACTTTGAAGATGTTTTTTCTTTATTTTTTATTGTGAAGCAAACCACAAATAGGACAAATCGTGAACAGCAATCTTTAAGTCTGACCACAGATTTTCTATTGGATAGAGGTCTGGGCTTTGATTAGGCCACTCCAACACATTTACATGTTTCCCCTTAAACCACTCAAGTGTTGCTTTAGCAGTGTGTTTGGGGTCATTGTCCTGCTGGAAGGTGAACCTCTGTCCTAGCCTCAAATCACGCACAGAGTAGTACAGGTTTTTCTCAAGAATATCCCTGTATTTAGCACCATCCATCTTTCCCTCAACTCTGATCAGTTTCCCAGTCCCGGCTGCTGAAAAACATCCCCACAGCATTCACTGTGGGGATGGTGTTCTTTGGGTGATGTGATGTGTTGGGTCTGCACCAGACATAGATTTTCTTTGATGGCCGAAAAGTAAAATTTTAGTCTCATCAGACCAGAGTACCTTCCTCCACACATTTTGGGAGTCTCCCACATGTCCCACTCAAAACGTGCCATTTCGTTTTTTTGCTGAAAGTAGTGTCTTCTGGCCACTCTGCCATAAAGCCTAACTCTATAGAGCATACGGCTTATTGTTGTCCTGTGTACAGATACTCCAGTCTCTGCTGTGGAACTTTGCAGCTCATCCAGGGTTACCTTAGGTCTCTGTGCTTTCTCTCTGATTAATGCCCTCCTTGCCCGGTCCGTGAGTTTTGGTGGGCGGCTGTCTCTTGGCAGGTTTGTTGTTGTGCCATGTTCTTTCCATTTGGTTATGATAGATTTGATGGTGCTCCTGGGGATCATCAAAGATTTGGATTTTTTTTATACTTCTTAACAACATTGTCCCTTACTTGTTTGGAGAGTTCCTTGGTCTTCATGGCAGTGTTTGGTTAGTGGTGCCTCTTGCTTAGGTGTTGCAGCCTCTGGGGCCTTTCAAAAAAGGTTTGTGCCTGTAATGACAGATCATGTGACACTTAGATTGCACACAGGTGGACATCATTTCACTAGTTATGTGACTTCTGAAGGTAATTGGTTGCACCAGAGCTTTTATGGGATTCATAACATAGGGGGTGAATACATACGCACATGCCAATTTTCTGTTTTCTATTTCTAAAAAATAGTTTTATGTATATTTTTTCTCATTTCACTTCACCAACTTAGACTATTGTGTTCTGATCCATCACATAAAATTCCGATAAATAAAACAAGGCTGTAATGTAACAAAATAGATAAAAAGTCAAGGGGGTGAATACTTTTGCAAGGCACTGTAATTGTTAATCCTGAATTGCAATAATGATGTAATAAGTCATTGATGTGTAGAAGTGGTTGTGCCTTGAAAGGTTTAATTGTACGTTTTATACTTTAAGTAATAAAAGGGTTAAAGTGCTAGTGAATGTTGTCTGTTTGCAGAAAGAAATAAAAAAGAGGGATGTTTAGTTTATTCTCTTCAAGGTTATAAGGACTCGGCTTCATGCCCAGAGGTTTTTGATAAGCACTCAGTGGTATAAATTGTTTTAAAATTTATTTATTTAACTAAAACTTTATTTGAATTAAATATTACATTTAGATGATATAAATTGTAAGGAATTAGGCATAAATAGTTATTTCTAAAACTAATTAATATATAAGTGTTAAACAGATATATCGTATTAAAAATTATATTGTACTGTTATGCAATATATAAAGATAGCTCAGACTGTCAGACATCTAATTCTCCTTGTTGTCGAGTGCTCCCTTAAGCAAGGCTGTAAGGGACAAATGGGTTCTCAACCCTATATGTTGTTGATTGCTTATTGAATAACAACATTTTTGTGAACAAATGAATTTCATTAAAATTAACCAGAATGTAATGTCCTTTAAGGAATGCTAAAACACACAAACCTGCACTCCTAATGCTTTAGTGTCCCAGTCCCTTGTTAGATTCAGCCCCAACCCGTTTTGCCATAAAAATAATACAATATCATTATATGCGATCCTTTCTGCCTCCTGTAACTTTTGTGGTCCATTAACAAAACTGCTTTAGTCTTTCCACCTGTAGGTTAAAGGTAAACTCCAGTGCCAGGAAAACAATCCATTTTCCTGGCACTGCAGGTCCCCTCTCCCTCCCACCCCCCCAATCTCCGGTTGCTGAAGGGGTGAAAACCCCTTCAGTAACTTACCAGATGCAGCGACATGTCCCACGTTGCTGCTTAGAGCTCCCCATAGGAAAGCATTGAAAATACTTTTCAATGCTTTCCTACAGGGAATTGAGCGACGCTGGAGGTCCTCACACAGGGTGAGGACGCTTGTAGACAGCCACTAGAGGTGGAGTTAACCATGCAGGACCTCATGGCCCTTCGTTTGATGCCTACCGACACCTTTGATTTTCTGAAGAATGCAGTTTTCGGGTAAGATGAGAATTCTATTCTGTAACCTTCCTTTACGATGGAAGTGACCCATAGGTCTGAAATATTGCTGGCCCATACGGGGTAGAAGAACTTCAGTCTTCCTCCCACCGTCCCCGAACGGGCCTGGAGACCTTCAGAAGTTCTTCCCTGAGGTTCTAGCACCCCTTCCTCTGGAAGCCTTATTGGAAGATGAAGAATTGCTGGAAAACTCCCTTCCTGGTTTATAGCTCCTGCTGTCCCGAAAGGACCGATCCTTGAAGCGCTTGGTCTTCCAGGAGGAGGGAAAACTCTTCCTGCCAGCTTGAGGTAAAAACGCCTTTTTCCCATCAGCAGCTTTTTGAATAGCATCTTCCAGAATTTTCCCAAAAAGGAGATCCCCTTGGAACGGAAGTGCACACAGGGAAGCCTTAGAAGCATAGTCAGCACCCCACTAATGAAGCCACAAGGCCTTTTTAGAAGCCACAGACAGGGCCATGCTTTTGGCAATCATGCGAGTGATGTCCAGGGAGGCCTCTGAACAGAATTCCGTGGCCAGACTAAAGTCCTTGAGGCTCTCCAACAGATGTTCCCTACGGACACCCTGATCAATGTCTTCCTTCAGATTAGCGAGCCACACTTTCAAGGCTCTGGAGAGAGTAGTCAGTGCCACTGCCGGATGAAGGGCGGACCCTAGGGCCAAGTAGGCTTTAATCAGGTCTCCATCCATACGCTTCTCCATAGGCTCCCTGAGATATGCCATGGAGTCAATAGGCAGTGTAGTTTTCTTATCCATATGGATCACTGCAGCATCAATTTTAGGAACTGAGTTCCACAGGCAGCGTACGGCAGCGTACTGTAGAGTACGGATAAACCCTTGCAAACTTATTTTTTAAGGTGGACTTCTTTTCAGGCTTATTCCATTCCTGAAGGATCATATCCCTGATTGCTGCATGCACCGGGAAAGTAGGTCTGTTAGGCTTTAGGTCCTCAAAAAAACTGTCAGCCTCCTTCAATTCAGATCTTACTTCAGTGAGACTAAGCGTGTCTCTGAGAAGGGTAATAAGTCTATCAACAGACCTGGAGTCAAGAGACCTGGAGGCATATTCAGCTTCCTCCTCACCTACATCCGAGACCTCCCACACATCAGGGTCCTCATGAGAGCTGGAAGACTGAGGTTCCGCTCTGCGTCTCTTACTCGGACCACTAGATCCCGTGGTAGCCTTAAAGCCCTCAGCAATAGCCTGGGAAATCCAGAGCTTAAGGTCGTCCTGTGGAGAGCTCCTACTGGGGGCGTCTGCGACTTCCAACAAGCATTCCCTGCAAAGGTTCCTTCCATTCGGAGCAGGCGAAGAACAATTAATGCATTTATTAGACTTTTCCCGTGATTTTCTTGCTGGAGAATCCAAATGAACGCTGGGGCTGGAATAAAGCCATATATGACATATATTACAGGCTCAGTATGGCACTCTTTTAACAACCCCCCCCCCAAAAAAATTTTTTTTTTATAAATGGCTCACCTATGTTTTCTAGAGAGGGATCTTGCAGAGGGAGAATCCATACTATAAAGAAGAACCAAAAGAAAAATTCAAGGCCTAATTTCCCAAAGGGATAAAAGAGGCAAACTTCCAATCAGCAGTAAGAACAGCAATCCTACCTTAAAGAGCAGAACTTCCATCAAGCAGCCAGGTAGCAGAAAGTAGCAGCTGAAACACAGGTATGAACCAATTCTTTGGGAAGAACAACACAAGGACTGCAGATACAGCGCTAGGTAGCTGTATCAGAGGCTTTAAATAGGACTGGGCACTGAACAGCTGATCACCCGGTCCACGCATGGGCAGAGCGCTGGAACGCACGCCAAACGCTCGCGGCCGGGATGTGAGTCACTTCCGGTTTCGCCGGAACCGGCCGCGAGCAACATACAGTCGGCTGGAATGCATAATGCGTTCCAGCCCCCAATGCCTGGACGCACAGGGAGCCCCAGGGAGCAGGGAAGCCTGCACAGCCCCATATGAAAACAGAGAGGTACCAGAATACAAGACCCCCTAAGTATGGATTCAAATACTGCCATCAAGGTATGGGGGGGAATATATGGCCCCAATTAGAAGGGGCAGGCTGAAAACAGGGGGAATTTTTAAGGCTAACCAACCCCACAAATAAACAGAAACAGTGTCTCCCTCAAACATTTACTTCCCACGCTGCAGTTCAGTACTTACACTGAACCTGACCCAGTTAGTTCTGCTCATGCAGGCTGTTTACTGGGTCCTTCAAATGAAGAGAGGCTGAACTTCATTTGGAACGAACCCACAACAAACGCAGGAAGGTGGCCATAAAATAAAATGTAAAAAGTTCTGTAGCACTTGCTAAGAACAAGAAAAAAGACTGAGGTGTAAGGGGAGGAGGGACTCTTTATACCTATCAGTCTGATTAATTAATCTAATTAATTCCTGTCCTGTGACTGCTAAGGGAGGAGCTACCCATAAGTGATGCTGCCATGATTAGCCAGGAAAAGATCCTTTCACTGGTCTTTGGACTGATGTAACCAGATATACACCACATGAATAATTAATTCAGGTTAATTGCTTTAACTGTGCTAGTTAAGTTTTGATATGTGCTTCCTGCTTTTTAATCACTGTGTTTTATAATAAAGGGATACTCCAGGCATCCAGACCACTTCTGCCCATTGGAGTGCTCTGGGTGCCAACTCCCACTACCCTTAACCCTGCAAGTGTAATTATTGCAGTTTTCATAAACTGCAATATTTATCTTGAAGGGTTAAGTCCTCCTCTAGTGGCTGTCTACTAGACAGCCACTAGAGGGACTTCCATGTTCATAGAACACTAAAAGTGTTTTAAACCCTTCAGCAACTTGGGATGGGGGGTGGGAAGGCGAGGGGCACTAGAGGGTCGTGCAGTGCCAGGAAAACTAATATGTTTTAATCCCTTAAATTTCTTCAATTCCTTGAGGAATGGCACTATATGATAATAAAGCTCTGGGTATATATTGGCACTATCTTATAAATGATCATAAAGCCCTTATTAGTCGGTGAGGGGGAGAGAGGGGTGGTGGTGGTGGATATGGCACATGGCACTGTATGATAATAAAGCTCTGGGTATATATTGGCACTATATTATAAATGATAATAAAGCCCTTGGTAGTTTATACTGGTAGTGGGTACTACACTAGCACTATACAAATGATAATAAAGCCCTGGGTATTGTATTGAGTAATATATTGGCACTATACGATTGATAATAACAAGCCTCCCACCCTCCCCCCTTGGTACTGGATATATGCTGCTGCATTTAAAAAATATTAATTAAAATGAGCTGAGGAGTAGTGATGTTCCGAACGGTTCGCCGCGAACTCATCATTGAGTAAACTTTGACTCTGTACCTCACAGTCAGCAGACACATTCCAGCCAATCAGCAGCAGACCCTCCCTCCCAGACCCTCCCACCTCCTGGACAGCATCCATTTTGAAGCTGCCTTCTTAGTGAGCTGTCCAGGAGGTGGGAGGGCCTGGGAGGGAGGGTCTGCTGCTGATTGGCTGGAATGTGTCTGCTGACTGTGAGGTACAGGGTCAAAGTTTACTCAATGATGAGTCCGTGGTGAACCGTTAACGGCGAACCGTTCGCCGAACCGTTCGGGACATCACTAGCAGCCACTCATCTTCTGAGATCATCCATTCAGATGGTTTCTGGTTTAAACCAATGCATTTCATAAAGCAGCATTATGGACCTACTTGGCATGCATGGTAATTTCCCAGTTTAGACACTAGAGGCACTTCCTAGTGCAGACTTTCAATAAATGAAATTCTTCATGTTTGACAGCCACTAGAGGCAGCCTACATTAAGAAATGTAAACATTGCTCTTTCTCATCAATGGCAATGTTTACATTCAGACTGACGAAACCGGATCTATGCACCAAAATCACATTAACAGTGTGCTTACAGTGTCCCTTGAAATGTAGCAGTGTTTGCTATAGGCTGGATCATCGCTATCTTAACTCTTGATTATGATCCCCATAATTACATTGTTGTGCTCAACGAACTCTCTTTTTACAATGAGTATGAATACATATAAAAATATGTAAGAATACAAACACATTTAAAGCCTTGTCATAGTTCTTGGTGGATGTTTTAAAATAGGAAATAAGTTACAGAAAAAAATCCAAACACCATAACAGCTCCAGAACGCTGTAGCGGTTATGGTGCCAGTAGTCCCCTGGCAACCCACCAATATAAGTCAAATGTTTTAGAACAATTTGACATCTTACTGGTGTCTGCCAGATGCCACTCCCTGCCTCAACTACATCAGTCAAAGAGACAGAAGCTCCATAGGCGTGCGCACTGGGTGTGCCGGGTGTGCCTGGGCACACCCTAAACCCCGCGGCACGCCTATGTATTGAGACCGGCAGACACACAAACAGCACCCTCACACACAGTACATTAACAGCACCCTCACAAGCGCACACACACACAGCAGTGTATATGTATATATGTGTATATAGATATACATACACACATATATATATATATATATATATATATATATACGCGGCTTGTGCTTTAGGGTGCACACCCTAATGCAATAGGCTGTGCACACCTATGAGAAGCTCCCTTTTTTCGAGCTAAAGCCAGTTCAACCAATAGGTTAGCAAAAAGCTAGCCCTCCACAGTATCATAAGTGTGTACAGCACTTAGGAAGAAATTAAAAGTCAGAGATCCATTACATAGCTTATATATACAATTTCTGTTATTTTGGCAAATTGCTGTCATTTTGGCAAATTTCCCTTGAGCACCTATGAAATGTTTTTACAAGCATTTACTGGAAGATATTGCATTAGAAATCCAAATTTGTATTACAAAACACAACTACAAATAAAGCCGTTTTCCTGACACTCCTGCAGCGCCTCCCTCCCTCGCGCCCCCCCTCCCGCACTTACTTGAATCCAGAACCGATGTCCCTCAGTGCTGGGTCAAGCCTCGCACATGCTCCACCCCCGCCGACGTCAAGCGAAGACCTAATGCGCATGCGCGGCAATGGCTGTGCTTGCAATAGGATTCCATATTGGAAAGCATTATTCAATGCTTTCCTATGGGGAAAAATCTGACGCTGGAGGTCCTCATGCAGAGCGTGAGGACGTCCAGCATCAGACGAGACAGCCATTAGAGGAAGAGTTAAGCCTCAGAGATAATTATTGCAGTTTCTCAGACATGGGGCATTGCACCCAGACTACGTCAATGAGATGAAGTGGTCTGGGTGTCTACAGTGTCCCTTTAAAGGAACAAATCGGGTACCATTGTGGCAGAAGCTACAGGATGTTCAAGAAAAGTTCAGTACTTACATGGTTAAAACTACTGTGCAACTATCTTGGACCAGGGTGCATGTGTGGCATGTCAGGAATGCCCACCATTAGATAACATGTGTAAGAGATAAGTTTGAGTTTAATAATTGGATGTAACCATAGTAATGTAGGTGTACTTTCTGTATTCTCTGTATTCGTATGGAATACGTATATATTCTTTGAGTATCTATTCTTTGTTTGGGAACTGAGCAGTGCCCAGTACAGCATGTTGTTTATGATAAAGGTACTGTGCTTTGCAGCTGTAATCTAATAAAGACACTTTGTTCTTCATCGACATGTGGCTGGAGTCCTTTGGAGTGTCCTTGTTTCATCTCTGGCTCAAGTAGGTTACCACATTTTGGTGTGATTGGCTGGGAAATAAAAAAAAAAAAGAACCGTGACCCAGTTGATAAGGCATGCCCTGGAGCGGGTCTGGATTTCCTCACGATGACTTTGGCGCCTGCTGGACCAATTGTCCAGAAAAAGTTCCTTGCATTTCTCTGTGTTCCGCTCCTTCAGTATGCCCGAGGACACACCAGGGACGGCTTTCCACGTCGCGCAACAAGCAAACGTCTAATTCATGGTAAGGCTCCAGTCCTGTGTTTGGTAGTACATGCATGTACAATCTGACCTCTTCCATAGAAGAGAAGGGAGGCCTGATCACCCTCCGCTATCTGAATAGATGGCACTGTTACTTCTGGTATTAGGTTTGTTTATATATGTGTGGCTGGGTGTGATGTGAGTTGGGGTGTGTTTGACTGCGCTCATTCAGTGTGGGCTTTGGTCAGGCACTGTGAAATACTTTACTGATAAGGGAACTTTCAAGTTGCAGGCTTGTCCTGCCTGAAGAGAGGGAGGGGGGGCCTGAGTGGGGGTTTGAGTAAAACTTCCAGCTTGTATAATAACTGAAAGCAGGTTTGTTCTGTTAAAGGAACTTGTTTGCATTGGTTGCCTGGTTGATTCTATTATCTGGCATTATGGGAGGGGGAAGATCAGAATCTTGGGCCCCTTGATTGTGTGGTCAATAATTTTATAGAGCCAATTATGGGGTTAAAATGTATCCTAAACGGTTGATCATTTTGTGTGAACGGGAATGGCCCGTTATTTGTTCTTGTTGGCCCTCTGAAGGTAGTTTGGACTTGGATTTAATTGCTCAGGTTCATGCGCTAGTAACTGGGTCCCCAGGTCATCCTGATCACTTCCCTTACATTGACGCCTGGCAGCAAGTAGTTAAAAAGCAGCCAGGTTGGTTAAAACAGTGTTCTGAAGAGAAAAGTCGTTTAATGATTGCTACACTGGCTTCAGTCCCTAAATCTACCCCCACCAAAAAGCCTCCACTAGTCACCGATATGTCCTTAGGGCTAGGTCTGGTGCTAAAATCTTGCCACTCAGAGCCCAACCTGGTCTGCCTGTCCTTGTGGCCGATGGACATGTGGTTTATTAAATCATGTGGTTAATTAAAATTAACAGGGAATGATTTTGCAGACATTGAAATGTTGAAAAAAAACAAAACAAAAAAAAACTAAACCCAGATATTGATGTGGATATTTTTGATTTTCCTGTATAATTTGAAAATGCATATAGCCTTGTTGCTGATTTTCCTGAAGATCAGGTAATCAATATGTTTGTTCTGGAAAAAAAAAAGGGGGAGGTTCCTTTGTTCTACATGAATTAAGCTGGGAGTCCAGAACTGAAGGGGTTACCATGGCTTGAGCTTTTTTTAAGGCACAGTGCAGAAGAAGTGATACCAGCTGACCCCTCCCCATCTTAGTAACTGCACTCAAAGCAGAATATAGCTGGGGTTGATTTAAACATCTTTGATTTAATTTATGAGAATGAGGTTTTAATATCATGATTGATCATGGATTGCTATATTTTGCAAAGCCTGGACATAAATATGTTTTAACTATATAAAAAAAATAAAAAGGTTTTGGTAGGATAAAACCTAGATTTGAAAAATACATGTGATATAGGTAACATGTATGTCTTTTGTAAGTTATTTCAGGTGACAAAATGATGCCAGTATTTAGACAAGATGGTTACCATTGGTAAAGTATAGTATTGAAAGGGTTAATCGACTTCTCTTTAACTCCCTCAGTTCTTGAATCTCCAATCACCACATCAATTGACGGGAGTTCTTGTTTAGCAAATAATGACAGACACGAAAGAGTGCTCTAACTAGTTCTCAAATGAGTGTATTTTCAGGGCTAGCATTTATACACAGTTTGTCACACAAGCAACGAAATTTATCGCTTCCTTATAGTTAATAGTACATACTTCTGTGGCAGTAGAAGATAAGCATTTGAATAAAGACAGAACAGGAACGTCCTGAGGTCGCACAAGGTCACACATCCTCTAGAAGGAAGACCTTGGTACAAAATTCATCTGCCAAAGTCTGCATAATTATTTTAAACATTATTTTAAAGCATATAAAGCAAAAAGAGTTTAACTATTTCATATCCTTACAGTCAGCACTAATGATTATAAACCTTATCTAAGCATAAAATACATATGAACAAGAAAAGTTAACTACTTCATATCCTTTCATTCCCCTCTTTGAGCAAAAACTTGCTCATATTATTGGTTAACATTCTCCCAGGACAGAAAAACTTCCACATTATGACATTCCTAAGCAATCATGTGGTCTACAAGAAACAGAAACTCAGCAGGAAAAAAGACACTTAATACTTTTGCAGACAGATGTATAGAAAATCGATGTTTAAGACAAAATGGAACCTGGACTTATAGCAAATAAGGGTCGCGATCGTGTTAGACATGTCATCCCCTCACAGTTGACACCACTTGTGACTTATAATACCCGCACCTGTGAGTACATAGCTTTGGTATCGGGAGGAATTGGGAAACACTTCTTACATATTAATTCATGAGATAAATTATAATCTAGCTTGAAATTCTGACAATAATCACAACCAGGACCTTGCGTCCTATATCTTTTAACCATTTCCCTATTCCAAAGGTCCAGTCAGAACCAGTCATATGCTCACGCAGTTCCTCAAAACATGGGAATCCGTCGTTGGCACACTCAACATATATCAAAAACACACATAGTACATCCATCCCTGGGTCAGCTAACACTTCATCTCTCTCCCGCTAACTCTACAAAAATAAAAATAGTTCAATAGTTCAGAAAAATAGAATAAGTCTTCCACAGAGGATAAAGAAATCAGTTTAGACACCAGACATTTTGTTCCATAAAATGGCTAAGGGTAGCAATATGGCTGACAACAAGACAATGTCAGCTTCCACATAGTTCTTCTTTTGTTTGCTGGATTTTCACCACAATGCTCTGTGCAACACCCCAATGGTTGAAAGGGTTATTACATAACCAGCGGTATTAGACAGCACTGCACCTTCAGGACTTTCCAGGTTCTTGCGTGAAAAGTTTATGTCCTCATAAGTAAGTATCTCAGTTTCTTCAGTCTGTATGGATTATGACCAAACAGATGTAATTGCAAAATACTTATTGCATGGTCAGCCAGAGAGATTGGTGTGTAGTCCCAGAAATCAGGCGGCACAAACACTCCAGGACTGTCTCTACAATCATACAAACACAAGGATCAATACAACATCAATTAATTAATTACCTAGGCTAAAACTTAAATTAGAGATTAAGGTTAAACCCTTAACTTGTGTAGCATGTACTTCTCTTATCTTTGCTTATATTTTATGCAATCTGTCTTCTATGACGTTTTACATAATATCCCTTTGGAATGCCTTTGTACGGATGAGAGAAGCATTCACTCTATAGAAATGCTTGTTAGGATGAATATTAAAACACTAACATATACATATACATTCCCAATAAAACTCTGTTCCTAAACTTGAACCTTGATTTGATACTCAAAATTAATTACTATAATAATACTAAATAATTCAATACTCTTGGATTAACACCTAAAACTATATAAAATATTAAAAACATGAACCATCTGTGTATTAGGCTGGGGTTGTTGGGTGTGGGTAGAGGGTTGGAAGCAGTGGCGTACACATGACCCATGGGGCCCCGGTGCGAAAATTGATCCGTGGGCCCCCCCCCCCGCGCGGGCCGGGCCGCAACACATGGCGGTGGGCACCTGGTCGCAGGGGTTACAGGGCTGCGACCCCTGCGACCGCGGTATGTACGCCAGTGCATGCAGATGCACACACACTTAAAGGACCACTCTAGGCACCCAGACCACTTCAGCTTAATGAAGTGGTCTGGGTGCCAGGTCGAGCTAGGGTTAACACATTTTTTCATAAACATAGCAGTTTCAGAAACTGCTGTGTTTATGAATGGGTTAAGCCTTCCCCTATTTCCTCTAGTGGCTGTCCCATTGACAGCCGCTAGAGGCGCTTGCGTGCTTCTCACTGTGATTTTCACAGTGAGAGCACGCCAGCTTCCATAGGAAAGCATTATGAATGCTTTCCTATGTGACCGGCTGAATGCGCGCGCAGCTCTTGCCGCGCGTGCGCATTCAGCCGACGGGGAGGAGAAGAGGAGGATCGGAGGAGGAGAGCTCTCCGCCCAGCGGTGGAAAAAGGTAAGTTTTACCCCTTTCCAGAGCCGGGCGGGAGGGGGTCCCTGAGGGTGGGGGCACCCTCAGGGCACTATAGTGCCAGGAAAACGAGTATGTTTTCCTGGCACTATAGTGGTCCTTTAAAGGACCACTACAGACACCCAGATCACATCAGCTCAATGAAGTTATCTGGGTGTCAGGTCCCTCTAGTTTTAACCCTGCAGCTGAAAACATAGCAGTTTCAGAGAAACTGCTATGTTTCACTGAGGGTTAATCCAGCCTCTAGTGGCTGTCTCATGGACAGCCGCTAGAGGAGCACACTGAACGTCCATAGGAAAGCATTGAGTAATGCTTTCCTATGGGCGGTTTGAATGCGTGCGCGGTCGCATTCGGAGCTGAGAGGCTGAGGGATCCTCAGCACCAAGGGAGTCCGGCGCTGGAGAAAGGTAAGTGCTGAAGACACACACACTCTCACTTACAGACGCATACACACTAGCTAACAGACACACACATTTACTGACAGAGATACAGTCAGCGACAGACATACATACACACTCACTTACAAAACATACACTCTCATTGACAAACACACACTCACTAACAGACATCAAACAGACTCACTAACACACACACTCAGTAAGACACACACAGTAACACACTCACTGACACTCACTAGCAGACACACACTAACACTACACTCACTAGCAGACACACACTAACACTCACACTCACACACACTAACACTCACACACACTAACACTCACTCTAACACTCACACACACTAACACTCACACACTCACACTCACTCTAACACTCACACACACTAACACTCACTCTAACACTCACACACACTAACACTCACACTCACTCTAACACTCACACACACTAACACTCACACTAACACTCACACATGATTTTTTTTTTTTTTATATAATCCCCCCAGCCTCCTTACCTCTTGGAGTGCTGGGGGGGATTATTCCCTGGGGTCCAGTGGGGCTCCTGGGCGGGTGGCCGGTCGGGCAGGCAGGCGGGCGCGCGAGGGAGCACTCACTGCTTCCTCTTCAGCTCCCTCGCGCGCCGCGTAGGGATGCCGGCGCCGGAAGATGACGTCATCTTCCGGCTCCGGTATCATTGCGGTGCGCGAGGGAGCTGAAGAGGAAGCACTGAGTGCTCCCTCGTGCGCCCGCCTGCCTGCCCGACCGGCCACCCGGGGTCAGCAGGGCCAGCCTCAGGGGGGCCCTGGGGTGATCGGCTCCTGGGCCCCCCAGGGGAAGAGGCTGGCCCTGGGCGTACATACCGGGTCGCAGGGGCGGCCGGGCCCCCTGGTGGGCCGGGCCCGGTCGCAGTCGCGACCCCTGCGACCCTGGTATGTACGCCAGTGGTTGGAAGCTGTGGTTGGTATTGAGGAATCTGTGGGGGTGGGTTTGGGCACTCATTTTTCCAGTGACCCTGCTATCCACAATTAGAACAGTGTGTTCCACCAATGCTGAAGTTGCTACCTCTACAAAAGTTAGACCCTTTGACCAAATACTCTACCTTTAAAACTTTTCTGACTCAATCTCCTATCACTTTCAAAATTTCTTTGTCTCGCCTGCTTAGGATCACAATCCTTGTGACTGATACAACATACCTTTTCCTTCTTTCTTTCTATCAAAACAACTTGCTGTATCTTTTTCATGAATCTTCCCAAGAAATTAATTTGGGGTCAAAAAGGGCCAGTCACAGACCAACAAGGAACCAAAGTAAACAAGGAGGAAGCATATTCCATATGCAGGTCGGGATTACCGAACTCACACCCCCCTCTTTGTGTACCCCTCTTCGTGTACCACACAGATATAATAATAATAAACTTTTAAAGGTTTAATGTATAGTTAAATTGTGTATATAAAGCAAGGTTGTCTAGGGGTATATACATCGACAATGAAAGCATAGCCTTCATATAGGGCTTGCAATACTGACAGTCTGTGTCATGAGTGTAATGCAGACATGCGGTTAGGTACTTTTCAATTGTTATAATATATTGAAAACACTAAGACTTAGCAAATTTTTAAAACGCATATTGCTTCCTGTACCTGGTGCCATGCATGGATGTAGTTGGGACATATTTCAAATTGAGTATCAAAAGTCTAACCACAAACCTAAATGTTATACGCTTATCAAGAAAACAAGTTTAACCAAGAGGACATAGTCTTAAATTAGAAGGAAAAGGTTTAAAAATAATATCAGGAAGTATTACTTTACTGAGAGGGTAGTGGATGCATGGCTATTCCAGCTGAAGTGGTAGAGGTTAACACAGTAAAGGAGTTTAAGCATGCGTGGGATAGGCATAAAGCTATCCTAACTATAAGATAAGGCTAGGGACTAATGAAAGTATTTAGAAAATTGGGCAGACTAGATGGGCCGAATGGTTCTTATCTGCCGTCACATTCTATGTTTCTATGTTAACCCGTTAGTGCGTACTTTGGATAGCCTCTTTGCATAATTTGGCTCCTAGTGAGATTATTATATTATTTATTAATCCTCTTCTGGGTCTGCAAATTGCTTTCAGTTTACCCATACAAATATAATACAGTAGTTTAGAAGATTAAGATTACCTCACTTATAAATTTCAGAAATTGTCTAATCTCTATTAAAAATACCATTTTATTATTACCCCATAATCAATGAGGCATACTAGATGAATCTTACTTTGACACAAACAATGCAATATACTTTAAAAGTAGAGTTAACTCTGAGCTGGACAATACTCCCCTATTAGAACTCTTTTATGAGGGAGAGACATCTTGTCCATTCAATCCTTTTTATCAGTAAAAGAATGACTTTCAGGATTAATCAATTTACAAATGGAAACGTGGATCCATGATTTGAACAGCAGAAGTTTGCGGGGCCCCTTTCACGTGGGATGTAACAAGCGCTTTTCTTGCTCCAGGAGCGATAGCATACAATTGTTTTATTCTAGCCGGGTGGACAGCATTTCAACTTTTGTAAAAACACTAAATGCTTGCGTTAATGATATGCAAATCACTCTGCTAGTTAAACTCCTACACAATGGATAACAAAATACATTAAACACATAACCCATCAATTCATTTCAAACCATATACTCAGCATCCAATGTAATATTACATGTCATCTCACAAAACAGATGTAGTAGAAACACATAATGGATTCCCAGCAGATATGCCAATACAGAAAACACATTCATGGGCACGCAACTACACACTCTGTGTCCCTCCTAGGAAACACGGGTAGACACAATATGAAAGCAGTCTTAAACTAACACCTCAAAATCTCCATTCCCATATAGCTATATCAGACCACAACACAGAGCCTCTCTGAGCTGATAGAACTACTCCAACTCCAACTACGCTTGGCCAAAACGCTAGTATTCAACAGCTAATAAAACTGTTATTTTCTAGGTTATTTGACTGGCATTTTTATCAGTATCACTAGACTGAAACAAACTGATTCAAATATAATTTAAAACAACACACCAACATATAAATTAAACCACTTTCCAATTACTCTGCACACTTAACACATTATCACAATCACCATTTACACAGAATAAACAGTTAACAGCTGTACTCAGAACATATTATTGTAAGGTATACTAATTTTAGTTTGTATTAGATTTATTTTAGGGATTCTTATGTATACATGTTTTTTTTCTTAATTAAATTCATTACTTTAATCTACTATAGTATTGTATATAAAGAAAGGATCCATTTATATAGCGCGCTCATAACTCAAATATTTGTATGAAACTTCCATTCACTAATCTGAGATGATGCTGTATCAACTTACATTTTATAGAAATTGAGCAAACATCTGGACAAGATTACACAGACATGGTTTCACCCAAATCTTTCAGAACTATCTTAGACTTAAAAAATATTTATACTATGCCATGTTAAAAGGCATGGCAAACTGGTCAGTCTCCAAGAGCCTTAGTGACACAGGTAGAAACCTTTGTCCATGATCTCTGATCCAGATTATATACCACAATTTAAAAGAACACAAATAATGTGAGACATAGAAGACACAAAACATATGCAGTAGGTATTGCACTGGATCATTTAAAGCATCTGTAGCAATAAAAAGGTTAGCTTACAGTACAAAATGAAGCATGTGTTGGACCGCTGAAAATGTAAATGTTGCTCTCTTATTTACAAACAAATCATATTTACAGTATGGATCCTTTGCAACAAACACACAGGGCAGGGAAGATGTGCTGATTGATGTTCTATACAATTAATCCCATACAGGGAATTAACTTTCAAATACTAATGAAGTGACTTTTTGTCTCAGTATAAAAATACTGAGCTCATCATGCAAACAATGTAACACATTTACACTACCCCACTCTCATAGAAAGTGTAGTGGGCTTATAGTAACAATCATACCAGGCACACAGATCCCATGTGAAATAACTTACAATAAAACAGAGTAATAAACGTATACTTCTATGCGACAGAATAAAGCAAAAGATTTAAGTAGGTCTAGCCGGTGCAACCTGCGAGTCAGTTCTTTTCTAATATACAGTACTGGTATCTTATTTATATATGTTTATATATTGGTCACTCAGGACCTGAACTCACATTTCCCATACCGCTGACTCAGGGCGGACACACTACTAACTTACCAAAGTGTGTCCCCAATATAGACAATCACCCACAAAGAACACTTAAGACAAACAAAGGTGACCGGGAGAAGTTTGGGGTATACTTATAGATCTATAAACCGTGCTCATCAGAACACCTATAGTCTTAATAAACCGGAGACCTCTTATGGTCTCAAAACCTGTATCTACTTGAGATACCCTGTATGTATCTTAGATACTAACCTGGGTTACCAAAACCCTATAATAAACCGGAGACCTCTTATGGTCTCAAAAACCTGTATCTACTTGAGATACCCTGTATCTATCTTAGATACTAACCTGGGTTACAAAAACCCTATACTGTCACTCCCACCCCGGTTGCCAGACACATCCTCAATTTCCATGATGGGAAACCTGATAATTTGAAATTTCAGGCAATTGAGAAACTGCTACCAAACCCGAGGAAAGGTGACTTTAACAAAATCTTGCTCAGAAAAGAATCACAGTGGATTTTCTCGTTTAAGACCTTGGCCCCTTTAGGTCTTAACGAGGAATTTAACTATAAACCATTTATACATATATAATTCTAAATGCTTGTAGAATTACTAGCTTACAATCTTATTAAGACTTGATAAATATACATTTGTTACATCAAAATGTCTGGGAATTTGATCATTATCATTCCTTTCTTTAACTGGCACTATCAAAGGACAAATGAGAACTATATCCTTATAAATTCTCTCCTACAAGTGCATACATGTATGTCAATTTTGACATGATATTAACCATGACATTACAGTATACCATTGGCTTATGGGGATACTTTTATTGATCCTGTATTGATATCTAAATTTATTTATCATTATATACATTTTTTCTTTGATTTTTTGATCCAGTATTTACATATTTTTCTCAGTTTATTTTATTTTATTACTAGCTATTTGGTCCATTCCGATAATATAGTCATTAGGTTTAAATTACCAATGTGAATATTTTTATTCACCAACCTATATAAATGCCGGTAAATCAATTTTTCTCTTATTCCTTCATACCCTTTTTCTACTTCATTATATTATAAGATTAAGTTTCAACTTGTTTTTTTCATATCCCTGTATTTATCTATTTATTTATTGATTTAGCCATTCATTTTTGGCATACACTTGGTTACGGTATTTTCTGTAACCAGACTAACAACCGATGAATATGTTAGCATCACTTGTTTGGATCATTCCGGCCACCGTACATGCCCCGATCCCTTGAGCCGAAATGTAACCAATCAGACTCAAGGGCGGGATTTTTAAACCCCTGCACACCGGGAGACTAGTTCCCCCTGATGAGCCTTGAAGTCAGGCGAAACGCGCGTCGGGGCACGATTTATTAGACATTTTGGCTACTATTAAGCTCTGTTTGTTTGTCCCCAAGTACTCGTCTCTTCCTTTTTCCCTGAGTAGACATATATTTCTCGGATTTGATTGACTCTTTACCCATCCGGGGCTCAGTGGGTTAACAACAGTGTGGGACACTACAGACCTTTATATTGATCATAATATCAGTAGCTATTAGTGCATAAACTTGCAGCATACATATATTTATCTTTCATCCAGTATAGCTTGAGTGTGCTATTTATCAGCATTAAGACTATTTTCTTATTTCATTTTCTATCCTATACTTGGTGCCCTTGAAGGCACTATTCCTACTTGATTCCTCATTATTAGATATCAAATTTTTCCATAGGATCATACATATATCAAACAACATTGTCCTTCCTATTTTTCTATTGATTAAATTTACTAGTGATCATTTGAATACTAATTTAGCATGCTGTTATATCTGCTCTCGTTTTTATACTAGAACTTTTCACGAGATTACTATTGCACAAGTCTATTCACTAAGTTTATTATAGATAGAGTTTATATTTTATTATAGTAGAATCTCCTGTGGTTGAACTGCATTGATACTTTGTAGTGTATCCTTTTGCCTCATATATCGATATTAATACACTGAAGGGACTCTCTCAATTGTATCTTATTTTTGGATACATGATGTAATTGACATCGAAGGCAGTAATATCCCTTGTAGTTACATTAGACTGACACTGGGCATTCTATTACATTTTTTTGATACAAATATATTAGTAATTGAACGCAATTGCCAGCCTCACTCAGTAGGATTCTTTTGTACTGTATCCTATTTTAGATTTACTGACACTATCAAATATTCATTCTTTTATGTCATGTGTAAACTCTATCCATTATATTATTTTATTTGATTTCCCCATTTTTTTTTTTGTGTGCTCCTTGCTTTGACTGCCATAATTGACTCTTGTTTAGTCAGGTAGTCATCGCTGGGGTTTTCTATAGATTTATGTTCTCCATATAACAATAAAGTATCTTCGAGATTTTTAACTGTTTGCGTGTACCTTATATTGGTAGTAGGGACAGAATCTTCTCTCTCTTTTTTGTTCTACAAAAAACCCTATATATTTAGACCAAATGTCTAATAAACTGGAGACCTATTTACAGTCTCAATATAACTAAAGTCCTTACACCATTCCTATCTACTGGATACAGACTTGCTGAACCAAAGGGGGTCATAGACAATCGGCGTCAATAAGACACAAAAAGGCTACTTACCCAATGGCTTTGCTGCATCCCACTTCTAACACCAAGCTGAAAGGGTTAATCGACTTCTCTTTAACTCCCTCAGTTCTGGAATCTCCGATCACCACATCAATTGACTGGAGTTCTTGTTTAGCAAATAACGACAGACACGAAAGAGTGCTCTAACAAGTTCTCAAATGAGTGTATTTTCAGGGCTAGCATTTATACACAGTTTGTCTTATCTTATCTAAGCAAAAAATACATATGAACAAGAAAAGTTAACTACTTCATATCCTTTCATAGTATGAAACTATTTTTCTGTTAGCAGAGGCCTTCTTTACACCCTCCTTAACACGGGTCTGCAGGGCCCGCTGGCCTTCTCCGCCCCCCTGTTCCATCGGCTATTGCTATTCCCCTATTTACCCTGACATAGCCAACCTGCCCTTGCCTCCTCCTCCACTGGAGGACCTGACAGAGGACTTTCCTGCCTCAGATACACCTTCTAAATAACCTAAGTATACCCCATCTGTTATACCCACACCACCTGTACTGAGTCCGTTAGGGGAAAGAAAAGTCTTCATGGTCGATACTGGGGCCCAGTACTCTGTCGTGACTAAACCCATTGCTCTGCATCTGGACAGACTGTCACTATAATAAGGGCCACTGGTAAGCTTGTCACCAGACTATTGCTATGAGAAAGAACCTTCAATTTGCAAGGCCATGTCATTCAACACCAGTTCCTGTACATGCCAGACTGTCCCATTTAACTCCTAGGAAGAGATGCCCTCTCCAATTTCCAAGCAAAGATCACATTTCCTCCAAACGGTAGCACAGTTCTTGACCTCCCACATAGCCTCTGAATCATATCTGTATCTGTCCCAAAAGAGGTAGAATGGAGGTTATTTGTTGTTAAGGACCTCATGGATGCACCCAAACTACCTCCAGGAATCATATACACCTCAGGTATATGGGCCGAACAAAACTCCCTTGTTCTTGCCCTAAACAGGCATCTGGTCCACATTGAACTAAAACCAGACATGTCCCCCGTCCGCTAGAGCCAGTACCAGAAGGGAAAGACAATGTGAAGTGAAGATGAAAGACACGTTAAGTGAAGATGAAAGACACGTGAAGTGAAGAAGATAAAGACAATGTGAAGTGAAGAAGATAAAGACAATATGAAGTCAGAAGATGGCCGGCAAACATCCAACATGAGAGAATTGCCACCCCTGATCAGACTTATGACTGAGCCAGTAGAGGAGATGACTTTGTGGGCATGGCAGGCTACCAACCTGTTCAGGACCTCAGGGCAGTCAACAAGGAAGTCATGACAATTCACCTGGTGGTGCCTAACCCCTATAAAATGTTGGCCTTTATTCCTGGAAGAACCACCCATTTCACCTCCAAACCTTGAAGGACACCTTTTTCTGTATACATCTTGAACTGTAGAGCCAATGGATATTTGCTTTCCAGTGGAAAGATTCTAGCACCAGAATTAAGGGACTATTAACCAGGACAAGACTGCCTCAAGGCTTCAAATAAATCCCCCAACCTGTCTAGAGAAGTACTCAGTCACAATGTGTGAGATTTCACACCTGAGTCAGGTCACTGTATGCTACTGCAGTATGGGGATGACCTTCCTATTGCTGCCACCTTTCAAAACAAATGCCTGCAAGCTACTAACCAACTGTTATGAATCTTATGGAAGAAAAGATTCAAGAAGTCAAGAAGAAAAGCCCAAATATGCTGCACATCTCAGAGGGAAGCCGTAATCTTAGTCCAGAACACAAAGAAGCCGTGTGCCGCATCTGCATACCCACCAGTCACCGGAAAAATGCGTGAATGTTTGGGTGCTGCTGGATTCTGTCGCAGATGGATACCGAATCTCACTATCAATGCAACAGCCCTGAACATGACGAATTTTTATGGGAAAATAATAATTATTATTATCATTATTATGATATTTATATAGCGCCATCAAATTCTGCAGCGCTTTACAATGGGTGGACGAACAGACATGTAGTTGTAACCAGACAAGTTGGACACACAGGAACAGAAGGGTTGAGGGCCCTGCTCAATGAGCTTACATGCTAGAGGGAGTGAGGTAAAATGACACAAAAAGGTAAGGATAGTATTAGACTAGTGACAGTTGCAGAAGAGGAATCAGTCAGGAGTTATTAACAGTTCAATTGATACGCTTTTATGAAGAAGTGGGTTTTTAACGATTTTTTGAAGGAGTGGAGACTGGGTGAGCATCTAACGGAGGAGGGAATCGAGTTCCACAGGAACAGTGCAGCCCTCGAGAAATCTTGAAGGTGAGTATCAGAGGTGGGAGTACGGACAGAAGATAGACGTAAGTCTTCAGCAGATCGTAAGGGCCTAGACGGGACATACTTGTGTATAAGGGAGGATAGATAGGTGGGAGCAGCATTATGTAGCGATTTGAAAGCAAGAACCAGAATTTTAAATTGAGCTCTATATTTTCTAGGAAGCCAATGTAGGGACTGACAGAAGGGTGAGGCATGGGAGGTGCGGGCGGATCGGAAGATGAGCCTCACCGTCACATTCATTATGGACTGAAGCGGCGCACGTTGGGAGCACATAAGACCACTGAGAAGCGGATTACAGTAGTCAAGGTGAGAAATGACAGTGGAATGGACCAACACCTTAGTTGCATCTGGCGCTAAGTAGGGGCGGATGCGCGCAATGTTTTTGAGATGGAAATGACAGGATTTGGCGATAGATTGAACATGAGGCTTGAAGGAGAGGTTGGAGTTAAAGAGAACACCTAGGCAGCGAGCCTGCATGGTGGAGCTGATGGTAGCACCGTTGACTTGGAGGGAGACAGACACAGGAGTAACAACAATTGAGGGAGGAAAGACCAGAATTTCAGTTTTGGTCAAGTTTAGTTTAAGGAAGTGGGCAGCCATCCAGCAGAGAGGCAGTCAGATATACTAGTCAAGAGGGACATGGAGAGATCAGGAGAGGACAGGTAGATTTGCGTGTCATCTGCATAGAAATGATATTGGAAGCCAGAGGAGCTAATGAATTTACCAAGGGAGGCAGTATAGATGGAGAACAGTAGGGGACCAAGGACTGAACCTTGGGGGACACCAACAGAGAGGAGTTGGGGAGAAGAAGCAGAGCCAGAGAAAGAAACGCTGGGAGAGGTAGGAGGAGCACCAGGAGAGAGTAATATCTTGTAGAGGATGAGAAGAAGCTGTTGCGGAGGATGAGAAGAAGCTGTTGATGATCAACAGTGTCAAAAGCCGCAGACAGGTGAAGGAGAATTAGGATAGAGTAGTGACCCCGAGATTTTGCAGAGAGTAGATCATTGGATACTTTGGTCAGTGCCGTCTCCACAGAGTGCTTAGCGTGGAAACCAGACTGAAGCGGGTCTAGCAGAGAGTTGGACTCGAGGAAGTCTGTCAATCTCGCATACACAATTCTTTCAAGGATCTTGGATGCAAAAGGCAGTAGCGAGATAGGACGATAGTTGGATGGGGAGTTAGGGTCAAGATTGGGCTTCTTTAGAATTGGGGTTACAGTTGCATGTTTGAAGGGCAATGGAAATATACCAGAGGAGAGAGAGAGATTGAGAATTTTAGTGAGAGGTGGAGAAAGAGAAGAAGACAGAGTACGGATGAGATGCGAGGGAATTGGATCTAGGGAGCAGGTGGTGGGGTGGGAGGACTGGAGCAGAGCAGAAACCTCTTCCAATGTAGCGGGTGTGAATGAACATAGAACAGCAGAGGGAGTGAAGTTAGGGGAAGTATTGTAAGGGGAAGAAGAAAGATGAGAGATCTCTTCTCTGATTGTAGAGATCTTGTCAGTGAAGTGAGTTGCAAAGTCTGAGGCAGTCAAGTTAGAAGGTGGAGGAAGAACAGCAGGGCGAAGAAGAGAGTTAAATGTGCGAAGTAGTCGCACATTTAACTGACAGACGGCTTTCAGAAACCTGAAGGAGGCCTTGGTTCAAGCACCAGTACTTGGACTTCCTGATCACCAAAGAGTGTTTTACCTGTATGTCCAGGAGAAGAGGAAATCTGCTGTTGATGTTCTCACCCAGTACTTGGGTTCATGGCAGTGGCCTGTTGCCTACCTGTCCAAACAATGGGTTCCAGTGGCCCTGTTGTCTGAGAACAGTGGCTGTGGACAAGAACTCTATGTTTGGGTTCCATATGCTGTCCAACCACAAAGTACCAAGCCATGCTATGTAAGAACGTGAGAACCCAAGGAACCACTGTGAATCTGTCAACTCACTGAACCTAGCCACTTTACTCCCAGAACCTGACCAGGGCCTTGCAACTGGTCGCGGGCCTATGTGTCAACATCTACACTGACTCAAAGTATGCATGCCCTACAATTCATGCCCATGGGGCCCTGTACTAGGAACAGGGCCTATACAACTCTGGAGAAAAAGACATCAAGCATTCATCTGAAATTTTGGCACTACTCGAAGTGGTCTGGGCTCTTGCCCAAGTTAGCATTATCCATTGCCAAGCCCACCAGAAGGGCGAAGCCCATGGGACTATTAGAAACAGGCTGGTTGATGGCACTGCAAAACATGTCGCTATAAAAGACTGTACCTCAGTCAACCCTTGCCCTGCTGTTCCTGGTAAACATCTCTGACTGGTCACCCCTCTATAGCCTAGCTGAACAAAATGGCTGGAAAACAGAACCAGGCCATTCCCTGAATAACAAGTGGTACCAATTAGAAGATGGGAGAATAGTTGTATCTACGTCATTGGCTGCAAACATTGCCTGTCTACAGTAACACAAGCAGTAGCCAGAGGATGCATGGAATGTGTCAAATTAGCCCTGACAAGGACCAAGCCAACAACCAGGGAATCAAACCTTTTGGAGCATTACCTGTATCTGATTTGCTCATTGACTTTACTGTTATGTCAGAATTTGGTGAATTCCGCTATATCCTTGTCAACGTATGCTCTTAGTCTGACTGGGTAGAAGCCCAGCCCACCAGAATAGAAAAGAAGAAACAACAAAAGAAAAAAGAGGTCTGTTTCCTGCTTACTGAAATAATGCCAAGATATGGAATCCCAATAACGATTGGGTCTGACAATGGCTTAGCTTTTGTACACAAGTGCCTGCAGGAATTAGCCACCGGCCTCAGTTGTTCCAAGTCAAGAGCTCCCCCACAAAACTCATCAGTCCCTCTCTCCCCTTTGAAATTATGTATGGTTGACCACCACTGATTGTCCTAGGCCTTAAAGGGGATATCCACCAAATAGGAGGAGAGATCACACGCCAAGAAGTACACCATGAAAGTTGCTGAGATCACCCCATGGATATACTACTCTAGAATCAAGCTTACCTCTGCTCAATGGGAAGTAACGTTTGTTGATCTTGACAACCCTTTAAAACTCCATTTTAAGAAATAAAGATACTTTTTGGAGAAAATATCTACAAGTAGGTGTTTTGATGGCCATAATAATGCCTGACCACCTGCCATCGATGGAAAGCTGAGGACCCCAAAAGGAGACCTTGTGAAGCCGAAGAGAATCAGAAGTACTCCTTACCCTGCAGCCCTCACATCCGGAAGCTGAGGTGCCGACGCACGGTCGAAGCTTCTTCTGAATCATCTGCTCTTCTGGAGTTTGTGGTGATATTAATATTGCATAAATGATCTGAGTCCACCTGTACTGAGGTAGCATGGGACAAGACTTATACATTAAACAATAAGTAAATGTGCCCTAAGAATAGGAATTGCATAAATGGTGGGTATAACTATTGCTCCTACTGGAGTCATGTGGGTTGGGCAACCTATAGATCAGATACCCTACCTGCGAGTCTGCAGACAATAACGGACACATTTAGTTGTGGTCCAGGCACCTTCCCTGGTTTGCAGATATATGGCCCGGGAACCATACTATATTTCAATATTGAAATTGAAGTCTTAAATAATGAGACCCACAACCTGTAACAGATCATCAATATTCTGTATTCATATTTTTTGATTTAGTTCTCTCTGTTACCAAAACACTACTATGTTACCCTTTTATTACTCATACCTTACATGACCAGGTCCTGCTCGGAGCAGTTTAAGCCCTGTTTCGAACACACATACACATTAGGCACACCAATCAGAGGTGTACAACCCCCAAATGTTTGCCTCACATCCAACCCTCATAAGCCACTAAGCTACTGTAACGGAGCTCCCCGTACTCCGACCGAGTACCCTCCGTTGATTGTCGCTTACTAGCTTGCTCCGAGGACCACGAGCACCGCACCGGACACCACAACCACTGCAGACTCTGCAACCGCTGTAGCTTGACTGGAGTGTTGCTGTCTTTCACCCTGCATCAGCTTCTGTCCTCCAGGACCGTGTGGGGAAGACCTCTCCTCCAAAGAGAGCGTAACAGGAACAGCTCTTAAAAGAGCTAAGTGATTAAAGCTCAGGGGAGTATGCAGAGCACAGCAATCCCCAGGGTGAGTATAGCTGTCCCCTCCAATCACGAGACAAGACTACGTGTTGAGGGTCAAGAAGAACTGTCTAAAACTCTTTTTTTACTTGGGACTAGCCCATATGGTCATTACATTAACATTGCTGTGAAAACTCAATAAAATTACAAACAGTCAAATCATAGCAGGCAACATACAGTGACTTATTATAACACAATGGCATATTTTTAATTAGGTGGGGGAGACAATAATTAACAGAAAATCTCTCACGTGCCTGCAGAATTAGCTATATGCAAATCTACCTGAATATGCAAATGAACCAGTCTTGCTATTCAGGTAGTGCATATTGCTGTTGCTACCAACAGAGGTCACTAGACAAGCTCCATAGCCAAATCCACCTAGTTGGTAGCAAACCTCAGCAGTACAGGAGAACAGGCAAAACATAACAGGGGCCATACTCACATGGCAGGAGGCTGGCAATCAGTCTTCTCAAATGCCCAGTGGCGAGGCTGGTTCCACCACAGCTACAAACCAGCACTCTACAAACACCCTCACGTCATTCACTCGTTACTTATAAGCACCCAGCATGTTAATGCCCCGCATCCACTCACCCTAGCTAGCCCATACATACTGCGTTATACCGACCTGGCAGAGGATCACCATTACATGACCCAAACACGCTAGAATACTTCGACTCCTCAACCGGGGCTACAACCCTACTACACTTATAAAAATGTGCACAATGTTCACAGTGATGTCAGTTTCTTGCAAACCTCGTTAATTGTATGATAAGTGTCACAATGTATTACTAAGATTGTGCCCGTCCTTGCTGTTGTGACAAGGCAGGCTTTTGTATAACTCGATACGCACCAAAAATAAAGAATTCAAAAATAAAAAATAAAATAATGAGACCCATCAGCTTTTGAATCTTTTTATGAAGAGGTAGGATAGTATCCTGTGATTGTCCCAAATCTGAAGGGTTGTTAAAGCACTCCCTAATTGAGAATGAGTGGATAAGTGGATATGGTCCAGAATTTGAGAGTTTTGTATATACTCTCACGTGTCTGGAGCAGCAAACGTATAATTCATCTGATGGGACTACCTCCTGATGATCCGCAACCAATGCAATTGAACCATCCCCTAGTCCCCTTGGTAATTACCCACATCTAAAAGATGTATGAACCGATTTGTCTGCAAGGTCCACCTGGATAGCACCCAATAATATGTATTGGATTTGTGGCCTTAAGGCCTTCTCTGAACTCCCCAGAGATTGGTCGGGAGCCTGTGTTCTAGGAACTTTGAAACCTCCCTTCTTCTTGCTTCCACTAAGGGAGGGCGAGATCCTTGATGTATGCATAGCTCTTAAGGCTGCAAAGGACACTGACGATAGGTCAATGGAAGTATAATGAGTGGCCCCCTGAACTAATAATTTATTATTATGGTCCTGCTACATGGGCTGAGGATGGAACTTATTGTTATCATACCCCTATCTACATGTTGAATCAAATAATCAGGTTACAAGATATAGTTCAAATTGTAACCAATGAATCTTTTGGCCAAACAGAATACCAGAATGTGGTCTGCTATCTATCAGAACCGCCTAGCCTTAGACTATTTGTTAGCCACTGAAGAGGGTGTATGCGGAAAGTTTAACTTGTCTAATTGTTGCCTTAAGATTGATGATGAAGGGAAGGCCATAAGTGACAATGTTGATAAAATAAGGACAGTGGCCCACGTTCCAGTACAGACATGGAACGGACTAAACCATAATGGTTGGTTCACAGGATAGTTTGATTCATTTGGGAATCTGAAAATTCTAGTGGGAGAGTTCTAATCCTGATGGCACTTTGTATGCTACTCCCATGTTTGATTCCGTTGCTGCTCCGTTCCCTCCATAGTATAATTGACGCTACTATAGAAAAGAAAACAGCAGCTAATGTCCTTGCCCTTTGGAGGTATACACCCCTTAATCAAGAAAATCCTGTGTAACCTCGCTTGCCTAGAACCCAAGACTAGATTGGTATGGTATTTCCGGTTATGATGCATATCGGCCACCTGTATCCAGGTGTTGAAGCATCAAAGGGGGGAATGTGGTAGAAGCTACAGGATGTTCAAGAAAAGTTCAGTACTCACATGGTTAAAACGACTGTGCAACTATCTTGGACCAGGGCGCAAGTGTGGAATGTCAGGAATGCCCATTATTAGATAACATGTGTAAGAGATAAATTTTAGTTTAATAATTGGATGTAACCATAGTAATGTAGGTGTACTTTCTGTATTCTCTCTATACGTATGGAATACATCATTTACAGTATATATTATTTGTTTGGAAACTGACCAGTGCCCAGTACAGCGTGTTTTTTATGATACAGGTGCTGGGACTTTGCAGCTGCAAACTAATAAAGACACTTTGTTCCTCATTGACATGTGTCTGGAGTCCTTTGGAGTGTCCTTGTTTCATCTCTGGCTCAAGTAGGTTACCACACCATAACACGTTCACTGAAGTTACATTGCTATGATGTCAGGAGGTTGCAGGGAGCTTTGCAACCTTTTTTTATGAATGAGGAGCTACTGATTGGCTTTGAGCGTCAGTTGACTGCTCTAGCCAATCAGTGACGCCTCTGCCTGGCAGTACTCTGCATTTCTTCAAAGGCACCCCAGCCAGGCAACCTCCTGGCTCCATAACAACTTCATTTTGATTAAATTGTTAATCTGCCCTGAGTGTTCCTTTAAAGGAAAATATATATATTTTGTAACCGTTTTGTAGATATACCCTAAAGGAAAACTGGTGGTATATAAAAACACTTCTTACAAAAGCTGCAGAACTGTTGTAAAAAATATATTAGACATGTGTAAAATTAAAATAGAAATTTATATACATAATATATGTATGTGTGTATATATATATATATATATATATGTGTAATATATATATACATATTATATATATAGATATATATAACGTCATACAAAGTGTATTTTAATATTAATATAAGTACTTATATTAGTATTAAAATACACTTAGAATGAAGTTACATATATATATATATATATAATAGATATATACACATATTATATATATATATATATATATATACATACATACACACACACATACGTATAATTACAATAATGAATAAAATAAATAAAATTTTGAATATTGAATATATATATATAAAAACACATAATTACATAAAAGATTACATTAGTATACATGTAGAATTTAAATACCTATAAATGCATATATATTAAAATTCTACATGTATATTTAAGTAATCTTTTAACATAATTATGTGATTTGATTACCGTATATACTCGTGTATAAGTCGATCTCATGTATAAGTCGAGGGCAGTTTTATGACCAACAATTGTGAAATATGCTATGCCTCGTGGATAAGTCGAGGGTAAAACTTGGGACTATGAAATTCTGTGATTTTAGAATTATATACACACACACTCATACAAACACACTCTGCATTATATACACACACACTCATACAAACACACACACTCTGCATTCTACACACACACTCATACAAACACACATACTCTGCATTATATACGCACACACTGTGTGTATATAATGCAGAGTGTGTGTGTGTTTGTATGAGTGTGTGTGTAGAATGCAGATTGTTTATGAGTATGTGTGTATATAATGCAGAGTGTGTGTTTGTATGAGTGTGTGTGTGTATATAATGCAGAGTGTGTTTGTATGAGTGTGTGTGTATATAATGCAGAGTGTGTGTTTGTATGAGTGTGTGTTTGTGTGTGTGTGAACTGGGTGGAAGGAGGGCATTTTTATTATAAATTTTTTATTTTAATATTGTAAGTTTTTTTCTTTTATTTGAATATTTAAGGTTTTTATTTTTTAATATTAAGTTTTTTCTTTTCTTTTATTTGAATATTTAAGGTTTTTATTTTTTAATATAAATTTTTTTCTTTTATTTTATTTGAATATTTAAGTTTTTTTTATTTTAATATTTTAATTTTTTTTATTTTAATCGTTTTTATTGTATTTTTTTTTTGTATTTTTAATTTAATTTTTGTCCCCCCTCCCTGCTTGTTAGCTGGCCAGGGAGGGGGGCTCTCACTCCCTGGTGGTCCAGTGGATGGGCTGTGCAGGAGGGGGGGGCTGACAGTGAGAGGTTACTTACCTTCCTGCAGCTCCCTTCTCCTCCGTGCAGCTCTTCTGACAGCTCCCACTGGAAGTCTCGCGAGAGCCGCGGTGACCCCGCGGCTCTTGCGAGACTTCCAGTGGGAGCTGTCAGAAGAGCTGCACGGAGGAGAAGGGAGCTGACAGGAGCTGCAGGAAGGTAAGTAACCTCTCACTGTCAGCCCCCAACAGGACCGCCGGGCTTGTAATGAGCCCGGCGGTCCTGGTCTGTATTGTGGCAATGTAAATTGCCATAATACAGACATTAACTCGAGTATAAGTCGAGTGGGGGTTTTTCAGCACACAAAATGTGCTGAAAACTCGACTTATACTCGAGTATATACGGTAATTAAAATTTGATTGACATGCCTGACAACACAGGGAAAAAGTGAAAAGAATTTAATTCGCAAGCGCTATATTTGACCCTGTAACTCTTCAAGACACCATAAAACCTGTACATAGGGGGTACTGTTTTACTCGGGAGACTTCGCTGAACTCAAATATTAGTGTTTCAAACTGGTAAATTGTATTACAACAATGATATTTTAAGTAAAAATTACTTTTTTTGCATTTTTTTACAAACAAACTGCACTTTTATGGACTATATTATTGTTGTAATATGTTTTACTGTTTTAAAACACTAATATTTGTGTTTAGTGAAGACTCCTGAGAATAACAATACCCCCCATGTACAGGTTTTATGGTGTTTTGGAAAGTTAGAGAGTCACATATAAGGCTTGCATTTCATTTTTTTGACTTTGAAATTTGCCAGATTGGTTATGTTGCCTTTGAGAGCGTATGGTAGCCCAGGAATGAGAATTACCCCCATGATGGCATACCATTTGCCAACGTAGACAACCCAACGTATTGCAAGTGGGGTATGTCCAGTCTTTCTGAGTAGCCACTTAGTCACAAACACTGGCCAAATATTAGTTTTTTGCTTTTTTCACACAAAAACAAATATGAACGCTAACTTTGGCCAGTGTTTGTGACTAAGTGGCTACTAAAAACCTTGGGTTGTCTACTTTTTCAAAGGGCATGCCATTATGGGGGTAATTTTCATTCCTGGGCTACCACACCGTCTCAAAGGTAACATTACTAATCTGGCAAATTTCAATTTGAAAATGGAACATTCTATATTTGACACTGTAACTTTCCAAAACACCATAAAACCTGTTAATAGGGGGTACTATTGTACTAGTGAGACATCGCTAATTACAAATATGTAATTTTTTGGCATTAGAACCTAACAGTGTTATGACATTAACAGCTAAAATGTCAGACGAAAATACAAATTTTTTTAAAAAAATCTTATTTTCTCTCATTTTTTTAAATTTTATTCATAATAAATTATGTTCCATATATGAATAGTTAATGATAAATTAAAGCCCTGTTTCTCCTGAACAAAATGATATATAATAAGTGTGGGTGAACTTAATGTGACAGCGGTGAATTACGGGTGAACAGACATATAGCGCAATTTCCAGTTTTTGTTTACGTTTTGTTTTGATCAGAACGTGGACTATTGACTCCGTCCTGAAGGGGTTAATAAACCCCTGTATTTATTAGTAAACATGTTTTACCACTTTCACAGGCAAATACAAATCCTAAATATGCAACGATCAGGCCATCACTTGCATCAGCACTAAATGATATGCACAGCATATGCAAATAAAATTAAAAAAAAAAAGTTTAGAATTGTTGAAAGTTTAGAACCTAACAGTGTTATGACATTAACAGCTAAAATGTCAGACGAAAATACAAATTTTTTTAAAAAAATCTTATTTTCTCTCATTTTTTTAAATTTTATTCATAATAAATTATGTTCCATATATGAATAGTTAATGATAAATTAAAGCCCTGTTTCTCCTGAACAAAATGATATATAATAAGTGTGGGTGAACTTAATGTGACAGCGGTGAATTACGGGTGAACAGACATATAGCGCAATTTCCAGTTTTTGTTTACGTTTTGTTTTGATCAGAACGTGGACTATTGACTCCGTCCTGAAGGGGTTAATAAACCCCTGTATTTATTAGTAAACATGTTTTACCACTTTCACAGGCAAATACAAATCCTAAATATGCAACGATCAGGCCATCACTTGCATCAGCACTAAATGATATGCACAGCATATGCAAATAAAATTAAAAAAAAAAAGTTTAGAATTGTTGACGGTGCAGTGAGCACAGCGTGGAATTCACTCACTTAGCACGGAAACCCTGCATTGCATAATGTCTTCCACTCCATTTCCTGTTTATCAGGGGCCAATTGTTCGTACTGTGAATCATGAGCTCAAAAAAACCCCATACCACTAGTTATTATATAGTTACACTTAATCTGGCAGCTTCAATTCTGCAGCAACAGCCACCACCTACTTCTTAACCCCACCCCCTAACTCTGAGCATGTTGGGCAGATCCTCCAGTTCGTAGCGTCAGCTGGACTGAACCAATCCGGCTACGCGGGGGGAGGTGCCGCAGCAGCGAACATAGAAGAGGCAAAGAGGAGAGCGAAAAGTGTCATGGAAAAGTGGCTGGGTGACCCGCGGCGGGGCTGCGGCTGAGGGGACCGGCTGCTGCAGCGTGAACCGAAGGACAACTTCCTTGTGGAGCTGGAGTGGTTTGGGGTGGTGAGCAAAGCCCGGATCGGGAAGGTGAGCAGCTGACACGGATATCTACTCCTGGGGGAGGAGGTCACTTAGTAAGTGCACCGATGGTCCAGGTGATGGAAGCAGTGTGGCTGTATGGCAGTACATTTTATTATCACTGGCACTGCCATCTGACAATTGAAATATCTTCTGTGTAAGGAGACTGCATTCTTCAGAGAGCTGCATTGTAGAGTCTATATACCCTGAATTAGAGAGGGTCTATGGGAGCACAGTGGATGGGACTTCTTAATATTTTACATAAGAATTTACTGCTTCCATTTCTCTGGGGTGTATTTAGTGAGGAGTTAATTGAAGATCTTACTTGGGCAGAGTGCTAAATGTGAGGCAGACACATCGTATGGTTTCTATGGCGATTGCTCCAAAATCAGATCCTTGACCCAGTATGTCTCCATATTTTGATTTGCATGTGTGGTATTATTAGCTATGTTTATCAACGCAAAAAAATAAATAAATCAAAGTAATCATGGTATTATGTGGCACAGGGAGAATTTGTCATCATGATAACCAGTGGAATGTCTATCAGAATGTAGAACTTTGACCAGAGATGCACGTTTCATTTTGCTTGATAGTATATATTGACATTTCTGTGTTATGGTGAGAGATGCTAACTTCAGATCATAAACATGATTGTTGAGTTTATGCTTCACTAAAAATACAGTGGACGAAACAACTGCTTATGAAGTGCTAATGTAATGCCAATATTGGTGCCACCTGATTGTGTGAAGCTCTGTATGCGCCTGTTATGTTATGCCTTCCCTTTCATATTTGTAGTGGCTAGTGGATGGTTTGATTGACTGCATGATGCCTGTGCATTGGCAGTGGACTGGAAAACATGAACAAATCCAGCTCCACTCTTTTGATACCTCACTATATTACGTTTATTGTTGTAGCTGTGTTTTTATACAAGAAGTATGACTTGGAAAAATGTGCTCAAGTGAGATAAGATCATTTTACTATTTGTTTACTCCAGTGCTTGAAGAAAACTCAAATATGAAATGACCAATAAATACATGAACTGAATTTGACTCTCAAAGCTACCTACCTGGGCTCTGACTGTATGGAATTATCAAATGTTCCAAGAGAGTTCTTAACCACAGCTTTGCAGGCCCTTAAGATGACAGAAATGTTAACTGGCGAAGGTGTTCCTGGGACACTTTAAGTGATGCATCTGATCTCATTGTGTCACCTTCATATCCCAGTTTCTCTTCACTGTAACAGATCTGACTGTCTTCAAGCTGAATTAATATTTTTCTACCAGTATACTAGAGATGAATGAAGAGGAGCATCTCATGCTTGCTTCATCACAGTTCAAGCTACTATTTCTCAAACAGCTGTCATATTGCCTCAATACAAACAGTTTTTCACAGTGACAGTGTAATGCACCCTTTTCTTATTAAAAAAAAAAATACAGGAATAGTGGTGTGTATGTATCCCTTTTTGTTGCTGATTTCTATTTTTGGGTGTTTAAAATGTATCACAAGTAGGTCAAGCAATGTTAAGCTAGTCTCTTGATTTACATGGTTAAACCAAGGTCACAGAAAAAAAAAAGAATATGGATCGGTTTGTGGGCCAAGGAATGCTCCCTAAAAGAGTTGCAATGTCTTAGTGTAATGGAGATGGTTCACCCTTTCCTTCTTGCAGTAGAGAGTAGGGAACAAAACCCTTAACCCTTTAATTCAAATGGAGATTGGGTTCACAGAGTCAACTTCTTAGACGACTTGTTTAAATCTGTATTCAGTGTTCTTTGGGTGAGTGTATGCTTAATGTTTTCATGTATGCTTGTGTATTATACAGTTTGGCACAACCTCCCAGAACATTATTTGGGAGATGATGTAAGCATTCTTGTAGCCTCATCGGAGGTTAGATGACTTAATTTTTAGTTAAGCAGAATTGTTTACATTTTATATGAAACGGCAAACGTAATATTAAAGTTTTATACCAGAAAAGTCGATTGCAGTACCTCTATACTCGCCTGTGAAATAATAATTAACTGTAGGAACATAAGGAGTTGTGTCATTGTACAGGTAATTGAGTTTCAGTGACTTGTCAACTGCTTTGTGAAATGCTTAAGTAACAAGGTATTATTAGATAATGATTAGTGCTCTCATTTTTATACTGTCTGCGGTTAATGGAAGATGAATTGTCTTGTGTTCTGTTTTTTGTTTCAGTTGCATACTAGACTAAAGGTCCCCTAAAATAATTAACATTTCAGGATATCCACACAAGTAGCGGTGTCTAATTTTTGTCATTCTTTGTCATTTTGTTAAATTAGCATGTTGTCATCTGATATGCTTCTGAGAAACTGCACTATCTTAGTCTCCATTTCTGTGCTGAATTTGTTGTGCATCTTCTAATGGACATTTGTAGGCTCATATTATAAGGGACCTTATTAACACTTGTAAAATTGTAACAGTTTGGCAAAATGTAGAGAGAAGATGGACTAAGGAGCATGATCTTTTCCCTGAAGCATAAAGTTTAACCATTTTTGTTCAGGCTTCATATTAAGTCTTTGGGAAGGGGGGCTGTTGAATCTGCTTGTAAACAAGTTGATAGTTGCACTGTATTCTGTCTTAATTTTTTGTCGAAAAAGAAGAGGCTTTATAAAACCATAAGAAAAGCACATGCTGTTTAATCCTCTGCTTGCATCTCTTCTCAGCAGGGAGCCAATGGGGGGCGAGCGTACAGACACACTCAGCATTCTGATTGGCCACCTGCTGGAAAGAGACGCGACTAAAGGATTAAGCAACAGGACATTATTTCCCATATATGGATCTTTGTTTTATGTGAAAATCACATATTTTAAATGAACAGTGAACTGTAGATTGCCTTATCCACAGAGACTTATTTCTAATTCGGGATATAATAATATATGTTACTGTATGTCTCTGAAGAATTCTCGTTCCCCTGCCCCTATCCCATTTTGGGCTAAATGGTGAATCTTTTAGCTATGGGTTACAGTCAGCCAGGGAACATCTTGTAATATTGTTAAAAGGCACCAGAGAATTAATCGAACCTCTGAAAACACTTTGATTGCAGTTGAATAAGGGAATTTCCAAAATTATCGAATTTTGTTTCATGCTGCTTGAGTTATGTGTTGGGCAGAAAACTGCATTTATGACCTAATCCTTTTTTGAGTTCATGAAGTATATCACTGAAGGTAAATTAATAAGGGTTGTGGTTTGCTCTGTAAACTTGATTATAAAAGACTAATAACATTGCTTCTTCCCCATAAATGGGATGGTTTTTAATTTGGGGTCATCTGGATATAAAGGTAATCGAATGGATACAGGCAGCCATTACATTTTTTTATTTTATTTTTTTAAATATGTATATAGAATTGGGTGACACAGCAAAGGTTTGTTTGTTTTCATGGATTATTGAACTGAGAGTGAAAAAAGAGATAGAAAACAACTTTTCTTTAGCATATGTTGCAAATATGACATTTATACCTATGTTTCAATAAACCTCTTGTGAATATTTTGGAACACCCTTACAATAGGAAGCTAGCCCAATGAAGTCGATTACACACATTATGTTGAGTTTCTGGTACAGTGATGAAAATACAGCAACTGTCAAACTACATTATACTGTTATTTTGTAATAGTTTGTCATAATTTGTAAAAACAAATTCTTTACTTTATTACTTAAATGGTACAGCTGCAGCGCTTCTCAGAATTTTTAATCAAAAGGCCTTTTTTGTGGCTTGCTAGGTGGGATATATATATATATATATATATATATATATATATATATATATATATATATATATATATATATATATATATATATATATATATATATATATATAAATTTTTTTTATTTATTTTGAAGCTATAGAGGTGATGGCTAATTCTTCAGTGCAGCTGTTATGGACTGTCTTTCTATTGTGGTTGACTTTTTTTGATGATGTGTACAACAGTTGAGTTGCCAAAATTCACTTAGAGCCAAAGACCTGTTAACTGATCAATCATGGTGATGACTGCGGCACTTATGGCACTGCTGCTAAGGTTGATTGGCACACTATTGCGCATATATATATATATATATATATATATATATATATATATATATATATATATATATATATATATATATATATATAATCTATCTATCGTATATACTCGTGTATAAGTCAATCTCATGTATAAGTCGAGTGCAGTTTTGTGACCAACAATTGTGAAATATGCTATGCGTCGTGTATAAGTCGAGGGTAAAACTTGGGGCTATGAAATTCTGTGATTTTTATACTTATATACACACACACATTCATACACACACACATTCATACAAACACACACTCTGCAGTATACACACACTCATACACAGACTCATACACACACTCTGCATTATACACACACACACTCATACACACACTCTGCATTATACAAACACACTCATACAAACACACACTCTGCATTATATAATGCAGAGTGTGTCTGTTTGTGTGAATGCAGTGTGTGTGTGTGTTTGTATGAGTGTGTATAATGCAGTGTGTGTGTGTATATACAATGCAGAGGGTGTGTTTGTTTGTGTGTGAACTGGGTGGGGGAGGGCATTTTTATTATTTTTAATTTTAATATTTAAATTTTTTAATTTTAGTTTTTTTTTATTTTATTATTTACTTTTTAAATATTTGAAATTTTTTTTTTTTATTGTAAAATTATTATTTTTTTTATTATTATTTAATTTTTATTTTCACCTCCCTCCCTGCTTGTTGGCTGGCCAGGGAGGGGGGGCTCTTATTCCCTGGTGGTCCAGTGGATGGGCTCTGTAGGAGGGGGGCTGGCAGAGAGCTGTTACTTACCTTTGATGCAGCTCCTGTCCGCTCCCTTCTCCTCTGGTCCGGTGGCAACGCTCCGCGCGGCAGTCACACCGCGAGACTTACAGTGGAGGAGAAGGGAGCTGACAGGAGCTGCAGGAAGGTAAGTAACAGCTATCTGTCAGCCCCCAACAGGACCGCCGGGCTTGTAATGAGCCCGGCGGTCCTGGTCTGTATTATGGCAATGTAAGTTGCCAT